GATGATGATACCACAGGAGTAGCCAGTAACATGAGCCGTAGTGCACGTATAAGGGCATGATATCGATTAGCATCTAGACAGAGCCTAAGAGGCTCCGTTACATCACCCCTCAGTCGAACCCTCGTCGGTGCCGGTCTCAACTTCGACATCTCAGAGTCTTCCTCCTCCTCATCATCATCGATGCTCAAGGGCTTTGATATTATGAATACCCTCATCCACAGTTCGACTCGGTCCAGTATAAGACTCCGGTGCCCACCCGGCCTGAGCAGTTCCCCTCGAACTCCCGTCATGCCGATCTTCCACACATCGGTAGTCGGGTTTTTCAACCCCCTCTCTTTAGAGCAGACCTCAGCCACTTCAGCAGCCATACTAGTCTTCTCGAGTTCACTACGGCTAAGGGAGGCCAGGGAAAAGGTACCGAGATTGAGAACTATGTAGACTCCCGAGTTGTATGTGTGTACAGGTAACAGTATGGTTGGTGCCTCAACGCGGACCTGACCAGTACAATGATGTGCTGCAAATTTTCAACGAAAATGAAAGTAAATTTTTTTCATCATCAATCCTCTCCCAAAATCACTAATTTAGATCACGGTTATCATTTGGGGAAGATTAAGTGTCCATATTTCATGTAGTTGATGAGATCTACCATTCGTTTCCATTACACTATGGAGTTTTAGCCGTGATATGAAAAACACTAGTGAAAAACATATTTCACGACTACTACAGGCCGCGAATATCGCCTAGTTTTTCACCGAGTTTTACGACGCCACTTCACGTAAAGCGGGTTATGAAACTCCAATGTTCAATTACTAGGCCTGTATTCACTCTGTATGATATCATATACACTCATGAGTAGCCGGAAGTTAGCCGCTACCATCATAAGTCAATATCGAGTGCTATTTCTCGCTACTCTAATGCGCTCCCCTCCTTACCTTCACTTTCAACTTGGTCTCATCAGGCCTAACCAAAGACCTCAGCCCAGGTGCCCCCGCCCCCAACTGTTGCTGCATCGCTATCAGCCTATCCCACTGCCTCACCCCTTCCCACCACGACGAGGATGACGACTTAGTTGCAACAACCGTCGGAGCAGCACTAACCCCTCCTTTATCACTACTCCCAATAGCAATAAGCTCCGAAAAAAGAGCCCGGTCGTACAACACCACCAAC